ATATGGGACCATTTTCCAGATCCTTAATGCAAATAGCACTGTGCTAAATGGTGAGCTATTGGGATGGGGGAGTGAAAAGACAAAGCCTCCCCCTCACAGAGGTTAAAGCGAAAATAGCAGCCATCAAATTGGGATGTGCAGGGCCGGCTGGAAGCAAAGTGTCTGCCCCAGTTTACCTTTCAGACGGGAGTAGCATTTCCTGAGGAAGACGTTAGGCATTTTCGAGCACTGATGGGGACCTGGGAGGCACGAGTGGGACCGAGACGGAGGGACAGTGCATTGTTAGTGTGGAGACAAGTTCTGGAAAACATTCCTGCCTCAGACTCAGAAACACATGAGTGTTTTTCCTTCTCTCCAGGGGAAGGGTTGGATAAATTAAAATTTTTAAAAAAAATTAAATGTATCATTTGTCTTATAAACTTTGAACTTACAATATTCCTGAGAGAAAAATACTTGGTGGGCGTCATTAAATATTAATCATTAGAGATCAGTTTAGCAAAGACATTTTAGTCAGGTTGGAACAGCTTTTAAGAAACCAATTACAATGTGGGTTATGAAAGAGAAGTGGAAGAAACCCAGGGAAAATATTAGAAAATGCAAGTCCCTTCACACAGTGGAATTTTTGCAGGGAATTCTGGCTAACTAACTTGTTGAGACTTAAGAGAGCAATAAAAATAGGTCCTTGTGCTAAGGATATAAGAATTGGCAAAAAGCAAAAGCTAGGATTACTAAAATTGCAAAAAAAAAAAACCTTGCTTTTTGACAAATACTTTCTTTTTAATATTTAAGTATTTTGACTAAAGGGTAGGTAGGAATTACAAAAAACTCATCTTACGGTCACCTGGTAAAATGCACTTATGTCGCAACTCCACAAATGAGACACCCGGGTGTACTTGGAGGACGGGAAGGTATCTTTTCATCTTCTACTTTGCCGACTGCTCAAAAGGCTGTGAAACCTTCTTTCAGGGTGTTCCTTCAGGCTCCATTTCATTAGTTGTATTTCGGGGTAATATGGGGGATTCCAACTGTCTTTCGAAGCTTATAAAATGTTGCAACTTAAAGGTGTATCAGAGGTAAGCTTCCTCATTTTCTATACGGGGGGGAAAAAAAGCGAGGAGGTAAATAAGTCCATAATTTTAAAGGGAAGGGACAACAGCCCTAAATGTCATGCACCTATTAACCGAGCGCCACGCCGTCTGAGGCAGAGCTGCTGGGACTCGGAGGAGATGGCACCCAGGACTGCAGCGCCCCTCACCTGCCCAGGGAGCAGCAGGCAGCCAGCCAGCGAGGGCGCGGGGACGGCGCGGTCCCGAGACCGCACCCAGCAGCAGCTGACGCGCGCGCGGCGCCCGCTCTCCAAAACACCACATTCTGGGCGATAAAGCAGATCTCAATAAATTTAAGATGCTTGAAATTGTACAAAGCCTGTTGCCTAACCACAGTGGAATGAAACTAGAAATCAATAACAGAAAGATATCTGGAAAAGCCTCAAATATTTAGAAACTAAGTAACATACTTCTAAATAACCCATGGGTGGGTCGAGGCAGAACTCCAAAGGAAAATTAGAAAATATTTTAACTATATGAAAATGAAAGGGCAGTTTATTAAAATTTGTGAGAGTCAGATAAACAGTGCTCAGAGGGAAATTTATAACATTAAATGTGTATATTACAAAAGAAGAAAAGTCTCAAATAGATAATCCAAGTTTTCACCTTAAGAAACTAGAAAATGGAGAGCAATTTAAACCTAAATTAAGTAAAAGGAAGGAAACAATAAAGAGCAGAGATCAGTGAAATGGAAATTATAAAAATAGGGAAATAAGTGAAATCAAAACCAGGATTTTTGAAAAGAGCAATAAAATTTAAAAACCTCTATCCAGATTGATTAGGAAAAAAGAGAGAAGGTACACATTTTCAATATTAGGGATGAAAGGATATTACCAGAATTTCTATCGACCTTTAAAGGGATATTTAGGAAATATATATGAACAATTCTGCCAATAACTTTGATAACAGATGAAATGCGTACAAGTAAACAGCCTAAAAATGTGTCACCAAGTAATTCTACTTCCAGGACTCTATGCTAAGTTAATAAATTTAAAATATGGACAAAGCTTTATGCACAAATATGTTTATCAAATGGTTATTTATAATAGAAGAAAACTGAAATCAACCTTAAATTTCCAAAAATAGATTAGTAAAATAAACTGGTTAACCATAATGATGATGATGATGACAGAGAAAATTTCCACATATGTTACATGAAAAAGTAGAAAGCAAAATTGTCAACAAATGGTGATCTCAATTTATAAAGATATTTATAAGTGAGAACTGGAAAAAAAAATTTACCCTTACATGACTTGTTAGATTATTTACTTTCTTCTTAATTTTTTTCTGTATTTTCCAAATTTGCTAAAAAGGAAATGTCAGTGCCATATTTTAACTGTCATATGCCATTTTAAATTTTATAATTTAAAAATATAAATTGTTGTTTTTCTGTGAACAGAGAAGATAAAACCTGTGCTTTGATTCCAGTTGATTTTGCCTTAGAAATTTAAAACCAGGCCTTTGGGGAAGAGTGAGTGGGCTCTGAATATCCCTGTGAACTCATCCTGCTCCGCTGGGCGCGCTCGGAGGCTGTCTTTGCAGCGCCTGTCTCGTTCAGCCCAACCCTGCGTCTCCACTTCTGTCCCCTCTCTGTCTTTCTCAGTCCAGTGTCAATGGGGAAAGTGCCAGTGTGTTCGTGTCCCCTGAAGTTTTTCTTTCTCTTACTGGCTCATAGTCGTTAAAGCATCTTTTACCAGGAAACCATTTCTTGCGCTTTTCCAGGCTTCATGTAAAGACCATGATTGACTGGAGATTTCTACACTGGCTGAGAATGTAAGTCTCTTTTCCATTTGTGCATCTCCCAGCTCCTCCCAGGCCGTTAGTACTTCACATCTGAACCGTAAGAGCCAAGTCCATTGCCCAGCCTCTAGCTGCCCAGTGTCAGCTCATTCTACAGTAGCTGTTGAAATACGTTTGGGACACAATATATGTCCTTTCCTTTCCAAAACCTGTAGTGAATGACTTCCAGTTTCTTATGAAATCCCCATAACTAGTCAAAACTATAAATCACTTGGTTGAAAACCTCAGGGCCTTCGTCTTAAATAGACTTGAACTCCTTTTTGGTACTCGAAGGCTAATGATCTTGACCTATCTGAGGATTATGTCCATGGTTTTAGCTCAGAGTAAATGGGCCTTTTACAAATGTATATAAATACATTCTTTTTGGCCTTTCTTTTGCACTTGCATAATACATATGTGACAAAGAAATAAAATATAAACTTGGTCCTTGGTGGAGAGGATAACACCTAATTCATCAGATTGTCATTTCACAGGAGGCCCTGCTCTATGTGCTGGACAAGTTTTGAGGATTCTGTTTGGGCCCCTAACCCACAGTTGCTTAATCTAGAATCTTTGGCAACATTCTTGATCCCTTCGTCTCCCTTGACCCCACAGTTGTCCTCAATTACAGTCCTTCAGCTGTTTTCCCATATCGACACTTGAGCCACTCCAATCTGTTCTCCATAAAGAGACCAAAGTAATCTTTGAGAAATATAAATCAAAGTATGTCATTCCTGTCCTGAAAACCCTTGACTGACTTTCTGATTTATATATGAAAAAAAAATCCCGAAGTCAAACCCCATCTCTGGACCTCATTGTAACCACTTCCCCCAGGTTCAGTGTTCCTGAGCCATGGGGCCTTCCTTCAGTTCTTCAAACACACCAAGCTCTTTCTCACCTCAGCACCTTCCCACGTGTCTGGAACATCATGCCCGGACCTTGTCTTCTGCTCCCCTCACTTCCACTTTCCCGCCTTCCTCCCATAAGTTTTCATCTGGCTGATGTATTGACTTATGCCCAGCGTTCAAATATTGCTTTAAATACCGCCTCCCAGAGGGGCCTTCTGGTCCACAAATCTGAATTTAGTTCTTCCTGTTATCTCCTATTCTTCTTCTTGTAGCACTTGCAGTTTTTCATTTTATCATCATTTGTTTAGTTTATTTGTTTAATGCTGTTTTCCTCTGCAAGCTGGAAGGTTGCATGACCACATACCTCGAGGTTTCGTTTATTATTTAACCAGCACATAGTAGGTGCGCATTATTGTTGAATGAAGGAATGAGTGAAAGAAAAAAATGAATTGTGTAAATAATTAGAAAATGTTTAAGAGAAAAAAGTTGCAATTTGACTATCACAGAAAAGTATGAAAGCATCTATTTTTAATCTGATTAGTAAAATTACTTGAAGTTATGATCCCGTTTTCAGCTAAGATTTGGGGAAAAGGCCACATTCATATAATTCATGAGGAAAGGGACTCTTCTGTGCCCATTTTGTTTGGGTATTAAATATTTATTGAATGAGTAAGAGGTTTAATATAATCATTATGGAAAGCAGTCTAGCTCAATGTATTTAAAGCATCAAATTGTTTTTATTGACCCAGATTTCCACCTAAGAATGTGTCATAAGGAGTAGCATAAGTATGGGAAAGGTCGTATGTTTAAAGATGTTTCTCACATTGTTATTTATAGGAGTAAAACACTGGAAACCGCCCACATGCTCAGCAAAGCACGCTATGCTAAGTATAGTCTATCCACTAGATAGTATCTGAGTAACCCACATGCTAAAGGTTAGGATAATAGAATGACTTCAGAAATGATTACAGTAGGAATGTAAATAAATGAACACAGAGTTTTATAACAATGTTTACAAATCCTGCCCACAGAAAGAAAGACTGGAAAGCAATATGTCATGCTGTTAATGGCTATGGGTGATTGCCTTCTCTCTCTTTTTTTCATATTTTGTTGTACGTGCACAGATTTTATTTTTTACAAGGGTTAAAATCATATGTATAACATAAGTTTTATATTGAGGCTCAGTTTCATGTTTAGTACATTTAAATGAGTCGAGGTTCTTGCATTTTGTCATCCGTGAACGGAAATGCTGCGCTGTCTTTTTCAGGATGACCGAGCCTTTGCCGAAAGTTCCTATGCTCATGGCTTAGATCTCTCATCCCCTTGGCAGGATCACAGTCGCTTCCTGGCTAGCCCACGGTTTTCACACTTGACCTGTAAGTAATGAAGTCTTGTACCAGTTTTTCAATTGGATTTAAGAAAATGCAACTGAGGGAAGGATTAAAATGCAAGACCAGTACATGATAGTAATATTCAGGATATGTGTTTGAAAAAAATTTCATTATGAATCACACAAATAATGCCCCCCAAGTACATTTGCAATATTACCCAATTTATTATAAATATATATGGGATCCCTCTTTCATAGACCTTGCCCTTATCAGAAAAACTTAAATCACCCAAGGTAATAATCTTTTTAAAATAATTTTAAGGTAATAATCTTAAACAAATTTTTGTGTGTGGAGATCACTGATGAATGCGGATAAGCGGGTAAAGGAAGTTAGAGGGTATTATACTAAAATTCAGATAATCAAAAATGGAAAATCTTTGCATAGAACTTTTCAGAAGCATATACTATTTTGCAAAGATTAAGGATATTACAGGCTAGTTTTCATTCTGTGACTACACTGTAAATGTTGCTAAAGTGTCATCCACACCAACAAGGTGTGAGTCTGCTGACCCAGGATACCATCTCCTACCACCCACCTCTCCCCTTCTTCAAGTGTCAGCTCATATGTAAAGTCCTTAAAGAAGCCTTCGGAACTTACAGTTTTAAGTAGGGTTTCTGTTATGAGTGCCCAGGGTGCATCATAATTTTTCTTCAAAACCCTTTTCAGAATAATTATGGAGTTATTTGTTATTTGAATGACTTATTTTTTTTCTGAGTCCTCTGTTCACCAGAGAGGGAACCATGGTGCCAGGTGCCATGCCTGCTCTGTTCTCCACCGCTCCTTCAGCATCCTGCATATATAAGTTGTTACCTTTAAGCTCACTTTCATCCAAACCATTGAGACTCAAGTGTTATTTAATGGATTCTTATTTAAATAATCATTTAGCTCTTCAATTTATCATGGGCATAGAGTTTGTACATTAAATCTGACAACCCTTTTATTTTAAAAAATCTAGGTTGCTATGAAATAAAATGCCAAAATAAACCACAAGGAAGTAGGAAGTAGGTCAAATCCAAAAGTGATAATTCTTCTCATTTTTGCTGATTTATATTTATGAATCCATTGAATAATTATTTATCAGTTTCTGATAATGTTTTGGTTTCCATTATGTCATCATTATTTTATTCCAAGAGCTAAGCATTTTCTCTTTCCTGTCTTAGCCATTTTACCAAGTGATTTGATGTATCTGCGTAAACCGTCTGCTATTCTAATCTGACAGTCACCTTTAATATGGGTGATATCTCAAGTTAGTTATGGTACCTCAGGATCAGATGTACATAGGCCACATTTTTTATTTTTCATATTAAGCAACTGAATATTTTCCTCAGGTATATGTGATGTATATAAACATGGAGGAGGGTGGGTCAAAGCACCGTCACACATACTGTCCCATCCATTAAGGCACTCATACACCTGGCCACAGATAAACAGCTTTGTGACATGATTGCAGGTCACTGCTCTGCCGCTTCTTAATTCTGCCATATAACTCTCATCAGGCTCCCCGGACAGGCGCTAGAAGGAAGTGCTTAGAAGACATAGGGGGGAAAATGTCAAGACTTTTAGAATTTTATTTAATATTATGATAGGCAGTGAGAGAAACTATATTCAGCTTTCCACTCAATAGCATTTCATGACCAGCCATGGTCATTTCTCCAAGATATGTTATATTTTCCACAGGCAGTCATTTATTTCTATATAAGTGATCTGGCGTAAAAGGAAATACAGTTAAATAAGAATAGGAACAAAAGATCACTGAGAACATAATTAGGATTAAAAATACTTACTATTGACTATATTGTAAAACCTGACTGAAAAATTTAGCTTCAGAAGTAAACCTCTTGCCCTAGCCGGTGTGTCTCAGTTGTTTGAGTGTCATCCTATGCACAGAAAGGTTGCCACTTCAATTCTCATTCAGGACACATGCCCAGCTTGCCAGCTTGATCCCCAGTAGGGGGTGTGCCTGAGGTAGGCGATCCACATCTCTCTCTCTCTCTCTAAAAATCAATAAAAAAAATTTTACAGAAATAAAGTTCTTTATTTAACTTATTGATAAATTATGTAATTATTTTATTAATTCATAGCCTTATGTTTTGCTCTTCTTTTAGACAAGTTTGTTTTATGATTTTTCCCCCCACACTAAATATTTTGAAGGATACTTTTAAAAATGTAATCATAGGAGCCTTATTGTTAAACATTTTATGTTAATGAATTAAACTTATTCCTAGAAATCACATTTATTATTATTTGCTTTTCTAATGAACCTTGAATTTTCTGTTTTTCATAATGTGATATTTTAGAAGTGGATTAGGATCACCCTGAACATTTTTCCATTTTTGTAGCACAAAAGCATTTCAGCTTAATTATGGAAATTGTTCTGTGATTTTTCTATAACCTCCTTTTAAACTTCTAAAATTACAAAGGAGAGATGTCAACACCAACAAAGAGAAAAACAGTGCCTACAGTAAATTCATAATCCAGGGAACTGAAGGTGCCTTTAAAAGTATCATTAATGCCCTCAGATATATGAGAGAAAAACATTGCATCCATTAAAAATAAGAGCAAGATGCTAAGAAAAAAGAACCCAGGGTAAGAGATCTCATAAATTGGAAGTATATTAAACTAGAAAGGTGGAAAAGGAAGGTGAGAAAATCACAAAGAAAGTAGAAGGGAAAATAGTGATGATAGGAAAGAAAAGATAAGGTATTTAGAAAATTCATCCTTGAGGGACAATACCTGATTAGAGAGAGTCTTGGGATGAGAGAACAAAGGAAACAGAAGAAAGGCCAGAAGTGAGTGGGTGACCGGGCCCTCCCACCAGTACCTGGTGCACTGCTGTCTTCTGGAGACTTCCCTTTGCCCTCCTCCTGAGTTGATGTCCATAGGTCTCAGATCCCAGGCCGTTCTCTGCTCGTTTAAAAAAAAGGGAGGTGAATGTTTTGTCTTTGTGTTTCTGAAAATGGATTTTTCCCCCTCATACTTGGCTGAAACTTTGGCTGGGTATAAAATTTTAGGTTGAAAATGACTCCTTCTGAAGTCATTGCACAATTATCTTCCCAAATCCAGTGTTGCTGTTGAAAACTTTATGTCTTTATTGTTTTAACTCCTGTGCCTTTGAAGTGATCTTTTCCCTCACCTCTAACTCCCCACTCAGCCCCACTCAGAGCTTGTAGGATCTTCTCTTTAACCCCCCACCGAGTTTCATGATGTTAAGCCTCCCTGGGGTCTTGTCTTACTTTACAAGCCACTTGCTGGGTGGGCCCCTTTCATCTGGACACTCGTGTTCTTCAGTCCTCTCCTATTGAAGGAAGAAAGGAAGATTCCATCAGGAAAATCTTTAGGAAATAAACAAACAAAAGAATTGGCACATGATTTGCTTCAGTTGAGCACCTCAGAAAAAAACTAATAGAATATGGCTGATCTAACTGAGCTATTAGAGACAATTAAGAAAAAGAGCAAATAAAAAACAAAAATAAAAACATAGGTCAATTAATAATTCCAGGAGGGAAAAATGAGCAGGAAAAGAAACATTTTCGTAGTACACCTGTTAGGTTACGTGAACCATATTTGCATAGCCATAGTAATATAAATACTCACTATTGACATAACTTGAAGTTCAGATGTAACTATGTAGGGAGAAGTGGGTGGGTGTGGATAAGTCTAAAAATGATAAATCAGAAAATAGCAATATAAGCTACTTTTATTTACAAAACTTGAAGTAAATACAGAAAATAAAGCTGAAAGAGTTGATTGTGGTTGACCCTAGGGAGCAGGATTGTGGGATTAGGAGGGATGGGGCAAGAGATGGCAGTCTTTCTGTGTAGCCCTTTGATGCTGTATGATATGTGTATGTACACTTAGGCTAAAGAGGAATCTTACACAAATAAAATGTTACTAAGAAAACCCCAGCCCCGGCTGGTGTGGCTCAGTTGATTGAGTGTTGCCCCATGCACTGAGAGGTCACGGGTTCGATTCCTGGTCAGAGTACGTGCCCCAGTTTTGGGCTAGATCTCCAGTAGGGAGCATGCAGGAGGCAGCCCATCAATGTTTCTCTCTCTCGTTGATGTTTCACGCTCTCCCCCCCTCTCCCTCCTTGTCTCTCTCAAATCAGTAAAAACATATTTAAAAAAAGAAAGAAAGAAACCCCCAGCTTTTATGTCTGACTATCAAGTGTTCATTTAACTTCTGAGTGGAACATGAAAGCTGGAGGTTGGAGTTCAGAGCAGTTTGGACCTGTATGGGCCGTGAATAGGTGCAGAGGAGGACTTGGGTTTCTAAGCCCACAGCACAGGCTCCTTCTGAGTGGAGTGGGGATCTGTACTGGATGAGGCCCTCTGTGCTGTAGATGCTAAGACGTTCATTCTGCTGACTTAGGTGCCCTGTCAAACTGTGACCAAACTACAGCGAAGAACCACTGACCGTGGAAAAAACAAAGGAAATGGGAAAATGCTGCATAATTTGTGGTCTCTGAAATGATCCAGCATTAATGAAAGTTTGTTTTCAGTAGTAATTTATGTCAGCTTTGTGTAGTTCAGGTCAATTCAAGAAAAGGTAGATTCCTTCTGCCAGGAAGAAGGAGAGAAATGTATAAATTGTAAGTTTATATTACCATTGGAAATGGGAACACAGAAATCCATTATTTAGAGCCATGATTACGACCAAATTTATCCTGGCTGGCTCGGAGCTATGGCCTCGATTCAGGACACTCTTTTAGAAGACTTGGATTCCATTACCTTCAGTCCGTAGACAGTGGGGCTTAGTGAGTAAGTGAGACTCATAATGCCAGCTTTTGAAACTGTCATTTTTACTTTTTATAAGGAGTGACTGACCACTAGTCTCCATGTATAGCTCCTTTTAGGCTAAAGGAGCACACTCCAGGACAGGCCTTAACTCCTGGGCCGGGACCAGGCCAGATTTGAGTGAGTTCTGTAGAAATCAGATGACTTCTCGAAATCTCAAGTCCTCTGAGATTAAAATGCTTGATATCTGTGGAGCTGTTATCTCTAAATTAAGTTTTAAAAATACATGCGGATTGCAAATTTTCTGAAGTTCTAAAACTGCTGTAAATCATGTTTATTTAAATAAATAAAAGAATCGACTGGTTTTTCACAGGGAAGAATGTTATCTGAGGATTATGAAAGGCGTTGGAAGTGAATCATGCATGTTAATTTAACTTGATAGTCTTAGAAAAGCAAATCAATGGAAGTTGCTAGAAAGAACCCTCTTTCACTTCCTTACCTCGGTTTGTGTTGCTATAAAAGGAAAAGTTAAGTATTCTCAATTTGCGCTGAGGTGCCTGTAGCGGAGCTTAAGTCCCTCGGGTGGAAAACAGTTTCTGTACAGCCAGATAGCACACTCTTCACTTCTGGGTGTGCTCAGGATCCACTGGTTAACTGAATAGATGCCTCATATGTAGTCTGTCCTCCAACCTGCAGGTAAAATGCCAAGGATTTATGACAGTAAAAATATTGCAGTACTGATAAGGTAAAAAAAAAAAAAGTTTTTTGGTTTTGAAAGGATTTTTGTATTTTTTTGTATGTTAGGAAAGCACCAGCCTTTCTGTCTCTCCATTTCATAGGTTCATTTTACATGAGAGGGATTTTTGTGTGTTTGTGACTATCTTTTCACTGGCCAGTTAGGGGCCAGGTATTTTCTTTTTTTTTAATCCTTGCCTGACGATATTTTTCCATTGCTTTTCAGAGAGAGTGGAAAGGAGAGAGACAGAGAGAGTAACATTGATGTGAGAGAGACACATCAACTGGTTGCCTCCCACACACACCCTGACCAGGGCCAGGATTGAGCCTGCAACCGAGGTACATGCCCTGGGTCAGAATCGAACCCAGGACCCCCTCAGTTCACAGGTGATGCTCTATCTACTGAGCCAAACCAGCCAGGGCAAGATACTTTCTGATTATTGCAATTTGACAAGGTACTCTCTAGGTGCTTTCTAGAAAGCAACTGGAAAATCTGAAATTGGCTCTTTAAAATCCCTTAAGTAGCCCGGCCGGGCGTGGCTCAGCGGTTGAGCATCAACCTAAGATCCAGGCGATCGGGGTTCGATTCCCGGTCAGGGCACATGCCCGGGTTGCGGGCTGCAGCTGATCAATGACTCTCTCGTCATTGATGTTTCTCTCTCTCTCTCCCCCTCCTTTCCTCTCTCTGAAATCAATAAAGATATGTTTTAAAAAATAAATAAATAAAATAAAATAAAATAAAATAAAATAAAATCCCTTAAGTATATTCAGTTGTGCAAACAACGTTTGCTAAGAGGCTGTGCACGAGGCTCTCTGTTCGGCTCTGGGGACACAGTGGTGAACAAGACAGAAAAGCCACCTCATCTCATGGAGGACATAGGTAGTAAACAATGAATAGGGTAGAGTGCTGACTGGTGGCATAAAGGAGAGATGACGGAGGGCACCTGGAACGGCACTGCAACTTTACGTTATTGACCAGGAGGCTACAACTGAGCTGAGACCTGGATGGCAGAAGAGGCCACTGAGTTAAACTTGAGTGGGGAGAATTTTCCTGTGAGAGGGAGCAGTAAAAGCACAAAAGACCCAGAGAAGAAGGGCAGGTCTTCTAGAGAGACGGAGCACTGAGTGAGTGAGAGCCAGTGAGTGAGTGAGACAGGGAGGGATGGAGCAAGTATGAGAGCGAGACAGAGAGAGAGACAGACAGAGAGGGAGAGAGATGGAGAGATGAGGCCCCAGTGGAACCAAAATCTGATCTTTGGATTTCATTCCAAGTTCACTGGGAGGCCATTGTGTGTGTGTGTGTTGGGTGGGGTTGGGGGGGACGACTATGCAGGAGAAGCGACCTAATCTGCTTTACCTTTTAAAAGATAACTCTGGTTGTGCCATGGCCAGTGTGGCTCAGTTGGTTGAGTGTCATCCTGCACACCAAAAGGTCTCTGGTTTGATTCCCTATCAGGGCACAGACCCAGGCTGCGGGTTCAATCCCCGGTTGGGGCGTGTATGGGAGGCAACCGATCGATGTTTCTGTTACATCAATGTTTCTCTCTCTCCCTTCCCCTTTTTAAAATCAATAAAAACATATCCTCTGGTGAGGATTTAAAAAAAAGGGGTAACTCTAGTTGTGGTGTGGAGAGAGGGGCAAGACGAAGACAGGAAAGAGAACATGGTAGCTTGGGTGGAGAGGATAGTGATAGAAATAGTGTAAAGCAGAAGAACTCAGGTGAATTTGGAGGCAAAACCATCAGAACTTTACTCTTAATTTGGATGGGGGACCTGGGCAGGGCAAAGGAAGGAAGCAACCAAAGTCTGAGAAACTAGGCGGTTGAGCGTATCATTTTCTAAGATGGGGAAGCATTGGAAAGGATGGGCAGGCATTGGAGGTGAGAAATCAGGCCCGAAGGTTTCACATAGTTGGATATGGGTGACTGGAGCTCACAGTAGGTGTTAAGACGTAGTAAAAAACCATTAAACATAGATTTCAAATCTAGTTTTAATTTCCTTTTGTGTAACAAAGAATGTTCTGTAATAGGAGGCCCTTAAGATTTCTCCCTCGGAAAGTCTGTGTGCCTTGTTTCATTATATACTGACCACACACCCACCTCCCACTCTCAGATACTTCCAGTCCACCTCCCCCAAGCTAAATCACATGAATGGTTTTTGAAAATATAGTAAACTGATTGAATTTATTCTACATTGAAGGTCTGTTAAGCTGTGTAAAGTTTACAGAGAACTAGATGAAATACAATGATTACTTACAATTTTTCTGTCCAGGTGTTATGCTCATCTAGGTTGATTTTCCTCTTTTCTTGTACTTTGCCAGCATTTACCAGAAGACCGTTTGCTCCCGATACGACTTCAATCAAGGAAGACGCCAGAGGTTTCCCAATGGATGGAACAAGTGCACAATCCAAAAGGGAGGAACCCGAAAGCAAAAACAGCAAAATGTAGTTTGTTGCTTTCCATGCATGTATTGCAAATAATAGCATATCCACGCTGGCTGCAGTTTGGCCTGCGTTACCCAGCAGGCATAGCGGGAGTGTGTGCTTTCCAGCATTGCCAGACACCGACTGCAGTGACAATACGGTCGGTCCTTGTGGATGATGCATGTGAAACCACTCCAAACACTGTCAGCTCCTGAACGACTCACAGCTAACTTACTGGCAACTTAGACCAGCAGAGAAAGTGATATTCTTCACTTCGCATTTTCTTTCTCAGGTGTGGTCAGCCTCATTTTTCCAACCAAAATTTGAATTTATAATTGAGGTCTTTCAAAAATGACTGGCTAGAAAATGAGCTCCCCTTGAGGCAGAGGTTGCCAGCGCTTTAGATTCAGGGAGCATTTATATACAATTGATTTTTAAAAAAATGCTTTCTCCCTAATAAATTATCATGTGTTATAACATGTCATGGAGATATGCAAATACAATATTTGTTCACTTTATAAATGCTCAGGATTGTTAAATCCATCCAGCAGTCTATTGCTACACGCAGTATCTTAACATTATTGCCAATCATCTGTATTAAATAGCAATAAAGAATTTACAGTGCTATCTGAATTGCAGAGCCCTGTAAAGAATTCATTGCACAATTTATTTATTTGTCTTTTTGTGGCCAAATATCCCACTGCGATCACCAGTTGTACCCTGCACCGTCTTTGGTTTACTCTGACCAAATCACAGTACCCAGCTCCTATGCCGGTGAGGTTTGCTCAGCAGAAGTTCTCATATACTCGGGCGCTATCTATCTACTTTCAGCACCTCAGCTTTTTCCCACATCAACATGTTTTTAAGAACTTGTTTTCTACATGCTGATCTACCAGTGGAGAAAGATTTCTATTAAGCGCCAAATATTGGTGAACATCCAGGAACTAAATCCCCACTGGGTCACGATGGGAAAATTCTACACAGAGACAAGGACAATAAAGTGATATCTTCCTAATGCGCATCACCTCCTGTGTTTGTTAGATTTCCCATGTTTCATAAAGATGCTTCCATTTCTACTCAAGATACGTTTTTCTAACGTACCATATCTGAATGTGCAGAAGACATGAACATACATGCTACGGTTACTAAGAAGATGAAGATGTTTCATATCCCAAATTACATGATATAACCTCAGAACCTCCGGGAGTACAGCGTGCATTTTATCTTCTATTCAGTCCCCAAACCTCTTGTTGAGTTCCTCCTATGGCCAGTCTTGTGCTAGGAAGGAAAACAGGAACGTGGAGGCAGGTGCCCATGTCCCAGTTTGTTTGACTTTAGGAATTACATGAAGAAAGGCGATGTGTTGAGGCTAGCTGGAGAAATTCTGGGTTGGACAACATTCGGCAGGCTTGGTTTGGTTTGGTCTAACCTTAGTGTGCTGGTGAGCACGGTGAGGCATTAGTGGGAACAGCCCTTCTGGAAGGAGCAGTTCACAGTCCCGGTGCTCTCACTCTATAGTAATATCTGGGGTTTTAAGAAACTATGTCAGTATTTGCAATGCTATTTTGACCAGCACCATGATATTTTAACTCCTTGGATCTGAAGTTCATCTCCTTGGGTTTGGGAAGAAAATAAGAGGGGAAATGAACAGGTTTTATTTAAATTCTGCAGACAAGGGTTAAATAGCTTCCCCGGTAATGTATTAGCAGGCACTTTGTGCAGTCCATTCTGTTTAACAGGAACTGATTTAAACCATGATCAGCACATCTGGGGTCATTAAAAACATTACATCAAGGCAGTTAGATCTGAAAGTTTAAGGTAACTCAGATTGGTTACTTGGCAAATCCTTGACAACATTAGCTGGCAGTTTTATAGCAGAATGGAGAGATCTTATGGAAGGCCTTTGAAAATCTGAAAAAAAAAGAAGATAAATAAAGCTACTATGTCATATTATAGGCCCTGGGCTCCTGTTGGATGGATGGAGGTGTCTGACTTTAAATATGGACACACAAGAACTTCAAAGGCAAAGTAAACTTTTTGTGAGCAACAGTTTTGTCGAAATTCCTTGGCCCTCCATTTATATGGAATTAAATCCAAGGATCTGTCTCCCCTGAAGATTTTTCCTATCTCTTGGAGTCAAGCTGGAGTTGAAATCAAAAGGAATGTTAAGAAAACAGTAATAGCTTCATTTGTACGTTTCAGAGCCAGCAAGTGTTTCTCCTTTCTCACCCCTCTGGCGGGACAGCGCAGCGGCCCGAAGCATTGTGGCTGGTCAGCGTGTTGCCCAGCGCTGGGGCACTGGCAGGGAGAAACCTTCTTCTTGGCCATGAGCCCGATCTGAGACTTCATTTGAAGACTCACTTTTTTGGTTTAATAATTTTGAAGCTCCCTGAACACACTAAGCTTCCAGTGACGGTACTGAGGCCGCCATGGGGAGCGAGCTGGGAGAAACCTGGCTGGGTGTTGTTCCCGTTGGCTCAGGCCATTGTTATGTCCTTGCTTAGCAGTGTCTGACTTGAAGGTTGGAAACCAGTTGGTTTTATCACATCTTATGCACCCAGTTTCCCAGAACCGACGACTTTTCTTACTGTTATAATTTACACAGTTCTAATAAAGAGATAAAACCTGTAGCATAACAAAATGGTGTGCAGCAGGCATTTGGATTTAAAGGTTACACGGATAAAATCCACCCACCTACTTAGCTAAGAAAACAATTAAGCCTATTTTCCTTCATTTTTCTCCTTCAGCTATGGTAAGTGCATCTTCCATTCTGAGGTTCGGGTCAGTGATGCGTGAAGTGTATTTAGAGTCTTGAATCTTACAGTTAAATAACAAATACTGTTTTAAATGGCAACAAATTCTTACATAGAGTTAAATGGTATATTTAATTAGCAAGCCCCTTTTTTAGGAAGGAGCAAATAATCTCAAGTTGTTTTACTCAGGATTTGTACTATAAACCCAATTACGCATGAGAAGGTGGCCAAGAACATGAATGGTCACTGAGTAAGTGACTCCTTTTCCAAGCTTCTTACGCTCAAACTGTCCCAGTATTTTGTCTCCATTCAAAACAAAACAAAATTTGTGATTTTCATGGCCTTAAAATGAGGAAGCTGTTCTCACAAAAGCATCTGGTGTTCTTGGATCAAAACTAAACCATGAACCTTAAGCTGGAAAGTAAATTGGGGAAAGTTTGTATATAAAGACATTTCACACACTCAAGTTCAATATAAAAATAGCTACATCTTTCAACTTTTAAGTTCTCAAATATTTAGCAATAAAAACATATCAGTTTATCCCTATTTGAGAAAATAAATTTAAGCCATGAAAGATTCCATTCAGTTTCACTTCCGTACAAAACAGGACCCATCTAATTTAAAGGCTAGGAAAAAATGCTTACGTCTAGAAGCAGAACTTTAGGTTCCAAGCCCCCAACCAGTTTCAGAGAAGTCGCCCTTGATTTTGATTAGTAACGGAGTAAACCGATCTGCTCTGCCGACCTTCCAAGTTCTAACCTCGTCTGCCCCCATCTGAGTCTCTCCAGGTCTGTCCACGCCTAAGCTCACTTCCTACCGAGATCAGAACCCAGCCCAGCTCTGTGCTCTCCCAGGCCAACCCTGCTGTTGACTCTGAAGTCTAGCAACTCTGCAGCCCACAGGCACAGGCCAAGGCTTGTAGCATCTGAATATCTTCCAGGACCAGCCAGTTAGAAAAGGAATTAAATGTCATGTGCCTTTGACTACTCTCATGGTTGAAACAATACTTTTGTGGTTGGGTATCTTTTCTTCCATAACAGCTTCACTCCTATGGGTACAAAGCCATGTGACAACTGTGATGTCAACTCGCTGCCTTGCTCGCTGTAGGAATATCCTGCATTTCTAAACATAGTGTCACATCAGTTCTCTTTCAGGAGGATGCTTTTAACAACATACAATCCGATGGTCTCTACCTTTCAAACTGTAGACTCTCATGCCTTTGAGCGTGGAAGTGAGAACAAGGGGGGAAAAATGCCTCTATAGTCAAAGTAAAGCCATGGAGCCTTGATTACAATGGAAGAGCAATTCTAACAATGTGCTATGTTTCAAAAAGTTAAAGTTGCACAATGACTGTTCCCTGTTTTTCTCAAACTAGCAGATGCACGACTTTCATGCCCAGACTGCCTTCTATCATCTCTCAGTAGATTCCCACAACTTGACACCCTCTCATTTTTTATGCGTTAGTAAAACGTTTTGACTGACAGTATTTAAATAAAAACAGAAGTGACAGTTTAGCCTTAAACATTGGCACTCTGTGTCGTCTTAGCTGTATACTTCACTGGAAATAAAAGATCAGAAAACTGGCTCAGAGCAATATTTTTTTAAAACAAAATTAGTGGATGTTAAACTACCAACAGTTCAGATGTTATAATTTAAAAGTCTGAAAATATCTTATTCTGAGGGAAAGGAAGATATTATATTCTCATTAGTTAGTCACTAATTGACAGTCTCCTTAAAATCATACTTGTTTTTTTAAAAAAAGGACAAGTCTGATTTTTATAGTATCAGGTTTTCCATGAAATTGCAGTTTTCTTAAAAAAATTTTAAATTCAGAGTCAGGTGTATTTTTGAGTCCTCGAGGCCACCAGGAATTCAAATGGCTCTTAAAAGCCCCAGACACTCGGCCATCGATGTGCAAACTGGCAATTCGAGATAGTGCATGTCTGTCCTTGAAATACTGAATTGCAGTCGGAAATATTTCCTCCAAGTGTCTCTCTCATTTCTTTCTCTGGGCCCCACAGTCATGTGCTCAGGTCTTTGGAAGCGACGCCGTGTCCTTTCTGGGCCAGCCTGCGGCCTGGAGGCCTTGGGAACACCCGAGCCGTTGAGGGCTGAGAGACGAGTGCACGAAATACGCGTTTTCTCTCGTGGTGCGGGGGCTGGTGTGTTGGCCGGGCGTGAAGGGCCGCCCTGGGTAAAGCAAGACTGTTTCTGTCCGTCCCTTATGCTCATGCCAGCTGTCCCTCCGAGCAGTGGCGCGTCCTTCATCCACGGGAGCGCCCATCGGAGCGCCTGCTCCCCCTCGCTCCGAAACGCGTGGCACCCGCCCCTGGGATGCTCAGCCCGCGCCTCCACCCCCTTTCAAGGTGTCTGCGCCCTTCCCTTCAGCCCTGCAAACCAGCTATCTGCTTCCACTGCACCCGGCTGTCTGCTTCCACTGCACCCGGCTGTCTGCTTCCACTGCACCCGGCTGTCTGCTTCCACTGCACCCGGCTGTCTGCTTCACTGCACATCGGCTGTCTGCTTCCACTGCACCCGGCTGTCTGCTTCCACTGCACCCAGCTGTCTGCTTCCACTGCACCCGGCTGTCTGCTTCCACTGCACCCGGCTGTCTGCTTCACTGCAACCGGCTGTCTGCTTAACTGCACACCGGCTATCTGCTTCCACTGCAACCGGCTGTTTCCACTGCAACCGGCTGTCTGCTTCCACTGCACCCGGCTGTCTGCTCCACTGCAACCGGCTGTCTGCTTAACTGCACACCGGCTATCTGCTTCCACTGCAACCGGCTGTTTCCACTGCAACCGGCTGTCTGCTTCCACTGCACACCGGCTGTCTGCTTCACTGCACACCGGCTGTCTGCTTCACTGCACACCGGCTGTC